CGGGTGGAAATTCTGCCGTTGTTCTCTGGTGTCCTACCTCAACTAGCGCCCAAGCCTCACCGAATCCTCAACCAGCTGAAGCCCTTCTTCGTCCTCGATGTCCTTTCAAACTAATCACGTTCAATGTGCGTACTCTAATGCGTATGGGACAACAGGCGTGTTTAGCTCGTACGCTAGAGTCCCTAGCCATTGATGTGTGTTGCACCCGAGAAACTCAAATTCAAGACTCTGGCTCCATTATACGATCGACGTCCCCATCAAACCAACCTGTGAAGTTTCACTTACGCGTCTCCGGAGACAATGAGGCTGCGGCTTCCGGTCTGCCTGGCGTTGGCGTCGCTCTGAATGAAACAGCTGAAGCCGCCCTCCTGGATTGGATCCCAGTCGACAGTAGGTTGTGCGAAGTGAAACTCAGAGTTTTGTGCAAAGCAAGCAGTCATCATCAAGATAGACGAACCTTGTTTGTCCTATCGGCGTACGCTCTGCAGCCCAGGTGCAATCAAAGATGAATTTTACCATAATTTACACGACCTCTTGCGTAAAGCGAACTGGGCTGATATCGTAATTTTAGCAGGAGATATGAATGTTATAGTAGGTCAGTTGAGATCGAGTGAGCCGCATCTGGGAGGTCCTCTCAGACTAGAATCCCGTTGCTCGGAAAACGGGGAACGCCTGTTGGCTCCATGTTTCGACCACCACCTATTTCTCGCCAGTACGAAATTTAGACGTTTCAACTGCCGATAAGCCATTTGGCGTCTACCCTCCGCGAGTCAGCGACGGACAGTTAGGGCGCATCGCGATAAGCCACAAGACTGCCGATCGTACTGAAGAACTCACCGCAAATCCGGCCACGCATTGCTGTGTAATAAGCTGTCCATGTGCTTTGGTGGATGTTCCAAATGTACGATACAACGATGGTTAGCCTATGATAAGTTATCCGAACCAGTTTGTCTAACTGGTTTCCAAAACGCACCAGCTGAAAAGCTAAAACTAACCCCACGCGATAAAATCAATCAGCATTGGTCGCTTATCAAGAATACTCTGAATCACGTTGGTTTAGTTAATTGTGGTCTGATACGTCGTTCCGGGACACCCTAGAACTCTACGAAGTATTTTCGACTTCATGAGGCACGT